TTTAATGAATGAGTGCTTTAAGTCTTATGAAACGTGTTTTTTATGCTACTTTTTGTAATTCGCGTTTTTATCCTTCTTTTTTAACAAAAACTAAATAAATTTTGATAATGTAGGGAAATAGGTATACAGCAGTTGGTAACACCGGAACAATTGAAAAAGAAATTTGAATTGACTATTAGAAATTGTCAAAACACAAAATATATTCACCTGAAAAAACGTTTCATGTTTCAATGTCCCAAAATAAGAGAAATTGCTTCGAGTTCAATGTCCTCATCATTGTGAACCTTGTTTTCGATGTGAAGAACGTGTTTAAACATCCATAGACAAAAATTGTGACATTGACAACCAGAAAAATTAATGATCCAATGTCACCAACTTGAACTAGTTCCATAAAATGTTACTAAAATGTCATTACAGCATCGGATGCTGTAAGGAGTCTCATTACAGCACCCATTTGAGTAGTGTAATAGCTTTCATTACCGTCGCGAATTACAAAATAGTATATTATTATATGAGCATATAATGAGGGCTATTATTCACGAAAATTAATTAATTTATGCTTAAATCATACGAAAGAACGAATTTGTTTAGGTTTTTTTAATGTCAAACATTTAGAAACTCCTAAAAAATTGAATTAAATTGACGTTTTTTGAACTTTTAACGTTTCAAATAATTATTATTAGTCTGGTCAAGATGGCTACCCGTCAATAATGATTATTATTCACCGCTATTATTCACTCCGTGAATAATGACTACCATTTTGTTTTAGAAAACTCATTCATAAGGTATATATTATAAGGTAGTCGTGGACAAAATAAATTAAAATTTTTGCACCATACGTAATTATGTTATTTTAAGGTAAATTGACTCAATACTGTACAGCGTCAAAACTAGTGGTGCAAAGTATCCTCTTTTTAATGCAAAAAGCCGTTTTGAAAAATCACTTTAGTTCTCGAGAAAAATTTTTTTTAAATAATCGTGAATTTTTTCGACATTTGCAATTTCCGCCGATTCAGTTTTAAAAATTCGTATAAAATCCAGTTCTTGGAATATGAGTATGAAAATTTCCTAAAGTGTTAACAAAAGTGCCTTCTTTCCAATGAACCAACCCGTTTTGAAAAATAGCTTTTAGTTTTTGAGAAAACAATATTTGAAGTTTTGATCAAATTTTCGATGTTGCAATTGTCATCGATAATTTTCAAAATTCGCCATAAAATTAATTTCTTGAAGGATCCTTGTGGAAATATCACCAATTATTAATTAAAGTATCCTCTTTTTAATGCAAAAAGCCGTTTTGAAAAATCACTTTTAGTTCTTGAGAAATAAATTTTTGAAATGATCGACAATTTTTTCGAATTTTGCAATTTTCGCCGATTAAGTTTTAAAAATTCGTATAAAATCCATTTCTTGGAATATGAGTATGAAAATTTCCCAAAGTGTTAATAAAAGTGTCCTCTTTCCAATGAACCAACCCGTTTTGAAAAATAACTTTTAGTTTTTGAGAAAACAATATTTGAAATTTTGATAAAATTTTAGATGTTGCAATTTTCATCGATAACTTTCAAAATTCATTATAAAATTAATTTTTTGAAGGATCCTTGTGGAAATATCGCCAATTATTAATTAAAGTATCCTCTTTTTAATGGAACAAGCCGTTTTGAAAAATTACTTTTAGTTCTTGAGAAATAAATTTTTGAAATAATCGACAATTTTTTCGAATTTTGCAATTTTCGCCGATTAAGTTTTAAAAATTCGTATATAATCCAGTTCTTGGAATATGAGTATGAAAATTTCCCAAAGTGTTAATAAAAGTGTCTTCTTTCCAATGAACCAACACGTTTTGAAAAATTGCTTTTAGTTTTTGAGAAAACAATTTTTGAAGTTTTGATCAAATTTTCGATGTTGCAATTTTCATCGATAATTTTCAAAATTCGCCATAAAATTGATTTCTTGAAGGATCCTTGTGAAAATATCACCAATTATTAATTAAAGTATCCTCTTTTTAATGCAACAAGCCGTTTTGAAAAATCGCTTGTAGTTTTTGAGAAAACAATATTTGAAATTTTGATAAAATTTTCTATGTTGCAATTTTCATCGATAACTTTCAAAATTCGTTATAAAATCCTTGTGGAAATATCGCCAATTTTTAATTAAAGTTTCCTCTTTTTAGAGTTGCTTCGTGAGTTAAATCAGCATCAAAAACGTTCATTTTGTATCTTGGATCCAAATAAGTTGACATATCTTATCAACTTTCTTATTAATTTCATTTTTATTCAAATATCGCAATAATGTGGCAATGTAGCGTATCATTTCTGAAATGCACCAGAAGTTATAACCATAATGGCCGGATAGATATGCCGGATATCCGGCCGAAGGGGATGCCGAATATCCGGCTTTTCGCAAAATCAAAAAAAAAAAAAAATCCGTTCCATCACTAGTCAAAACCTTTCATCTCTTCATATTTGTATTTTCATTTCAATAAGTAATCTTTTTGTATACATTTAGATTCTGTTGATTAATTTATTTATATTCCTCTACCGGTTTTAATATTCCCACTTCATCATCAAGAGAAAGGTCATAAATTTAACCATGAAATAAATATTATATTATACGTTATTTTAAAACGAGTTTTGTAAACTTTCTCTCCAACTACAGTTTAGATCGCCCAAATTGAAAACATGAAACTACAAACTAAAGGCTTATAGTCAATAACCACAAAGACTGCATAGAATAAGAATGAACTGTGTTTCCTTACCCTTTATATCGAGAATAAACCAGGTCAAATTTTGTTATGAATCCCTTAAATTCACGCCGTCAAAGATTTGCTCGTTTTCATCATTTATGACCTCTTACGTATTCTTGTAAGGCTTTGATATTTAAATAAGTATTTTATGGTTTAATCACCGTAAGGAAATGAAGACTATTATTGATTTAGACTGCAAGATTCATGCTAATCGAATAGGAAACCATTTTAAATAATTAATTTACACGACGCGATCTGAAACTTACTTGAAAAGCAAACGAAACCCAACCCGACCCAGTTCGTTCGCATTCGTAAAGAAATCTGTTTCAATCGAATCGTGGCTGTACTCGTTTTGTTCATTTTCGAATTAATTCTAGAAAAGTATCATTTTCTCCTGGATTATTTTTACGTGGAATTGATTTATTTTTTGGTATTGATTTCAATACCTAAATCTATCAGTCTGTATAAGAAATATGTTATGTTATATTAGATTTTAAAAAAATTCCTTTGTGACAATTTTTTATAATTGAAATGAAAAACTATGACAGAACATCGATCATCTTTTCCCTCTTTCCCGTCACCTAATATTTTCACAGCACGTTTCGTCTTGAGCCTCTAGAATCAATAGACCAGGTGAAAGACGCAAGATAAAATATTGCTCCTTTCCACTCGACGTCCTTGCCAAATCCCTTCTGATCCCCGTACCCTTTCCAGACAGTTTTCCGGTTATTTTCCAGCTCCTTTTCCCAATCAAAGTAAGTTTCATCCTATAGAATACGAAACCGGGCCTTCGCAAATAAGCGTTACCGTAGCTTTTTACACTGTTTCATGTACTTACGTCATGAAGGTGATAAAAGGGGTGACGGTGATATGACGGTGGTAGTAAATGGAAGCTGTAGTTGAGGGCAATTAGGTTGGCCTACGTTGGCAAACTGTGGTAAACAGGAGATGACAGGTAAAGCACCCTAATAATGTAAACTTGTTGCCCTTTAAGCTCCTCAGACCTTAGACGAGCAGTAGGCGGGCTTTAGCGGTGGTATCTGATGAGCTTTACGGCATCTGAACTTAACATAATGCTCCTTGAGTAACGACAGTGGCAGGAATTGTGTTTGTAACGTTGCGTTTTCGACATAATTCGACGTCAGTTTATGTTTTGTTACACTTGAACAATTTCAATAAAGATTAAAATGGAAATTACTGAAACAAATATGATCCTTTATTATCATTCGGGTTAAAGAAAAAAGTGTTAGTATATCGTCACCTTGTTATTCTTAGAGAATGTAAATGCCCTCGTTATACACTGGCCTTTATTTTTCTCGTGAAATTACAGCGATAACTGTCTTCATAAGTTAGCATAAGGAGCTATAAAACTAAGAATTAATAATGTTTATTCAATGTTTCGAGATATTATTAGTTAGATAGATTAATAATTTTCTTAAATCCAATAAATACATAATAATTATTCATTATTAACTTAACCAGATAATATATCGGTTGAAGGTCATGTTATGAATGCTCATATCGTGATTATTAATTTATTAACAAGAAATAAAAATTAAGAATGGTTATTCGTATGTAAAGCCTCTCGTAGAGTTTCTCATAGAGAAAGTCTCAACTCATAAATATATGCTAACTATAACCGTTTAAGTATAAAATTTACAAACGCAAGCAAAAGATAAGATGTATTTATGCTCGAGGTAATGCTAAAAACGGTACAAAATGCTAATAAGAAAACTTATTAGCCGTAATTTTCTTTGCCAATGTAATTTTGAAAGTTGCAGCAAGTGCTATTTTCATTAAAACTCCAGTAATAAATTTCCCAAGACGAGTTTTTCTTTTTGCACCCCTTAACATCAGTTAATTCAACACGTTGAATAACAAAAAAAAAAATCTCCAACGCAGATGATTCACAACATTTCTTTCTTATTCTATTTTTGTTTATTTCTTTGGATCCTTTTTTTTCTTGTTTTTAATATAATGCATTCTTTTGCGATCTCTCACAAACCAAAAAAGTATCGGATAAGGATCTCCCACGTTAATAAATAGGGCACCTTTTTAACAATGAAGCCGCTACCTGCACCCAAATCGCGCCAAACGAACGCAAACAAGTCAATAATTCACCCACGAAACGGTCACAAGAAGACCGCGAAGACTGTTAAACAACCGAAATCTAACTTTAGATGTGGCAAAACCCGATATAAATTTCACCCAGGTTGAATCAAACCATAAAAATAAAAAATATTATAAAAAGACTTACCCTGGTATCTAAATCCTTAATTTTCTTCAAAAGATACATAACAGCATCGGGTAATTTCGTATCAATAAGTTTAATAACCATTCCAGCATTAACCATAGCTTCGTTATTAAATTGTTTCATAGAAGTCATAAGTCTTTCGATTCCTTCAACGTAGCTATTCCAAGGAGCATCTAATTCGACAACATAATGGCTTAAACAACCTCTTAAAACGTTTAAACAATAACCAGAACAAGGTTTATAACTCGATAAACCCTGACATTTTGGACAATAAGTCATTTTAAGTAAAGCGTCGTAACATTCTGTGTTATCCTTATTCGTTTCGTCCATAAACGAATCACTCGAATTAAGCACCCCTATACCCATTTCTAAAGCTTGAAATAATAGTCGCGTCGATTCTAAGCTTTTTGATAGGGTTTGGCCCATTTGTCGCGGTGTTTCACCAAACGGCTGCAACTCGTTGTAGTACTTCTTCAGGCACGACTTGTACTCGAAGGTGAGGTCACGTAAATCGAGTGCTTGTTTGTAAGCTATAGGAAACAAGCTCTCGAAAAATGTTGAAACGGAAGCTTTAATATCGATGGGGGACGCCTCGAAAACTTCATCGGAGTTTCCGATTTCGATATAATTTCTTATATCTTGATAAAAGTTTGATATCGAATCCTTTGCTACTGAATTATACATTTGATGAGCGAAAGCTTGCGTTAAATTTTCTGATTGATATGCTACTTCATTGATGTAATCTGAAAAAAATAAACAATGAATTAAAATTAAAATCGTAAAAAAAGGTTCGTTGATATTTTTGAAATTGTGTGTAGGAGGTCGGTTTAAAAAAGATACTTAAAAAGAAACAGTGGAAGGTGCTAATTATGTTTCGTTTTCTTCTAAAGAGTTATTTATGTATATAAGTTTGAGATGCTCAAGTCAAATCCTATTTTAATCTCATTTGTTATTTTAAAGCTTTTTTTGAAAAAAGTTTAAATAAATACAGTAAAACCTCGATATAACGGATAATAATAATAATAATAATGTTTATTTGTCGCAAAGAAATGTGCGTACAATAGTCAACAATACAAGAAAATAATAATAATATTCAATAAAAAATGTAATTTAAGCATTCCTCTATTGAGTAGAAGGAGTATTGTAGTAACAATCGCTTCACTTTTCCTCTGAAGATTGGCAACGGCAACTCAGAATAGGCTGGTAGCAATTTATTATATAATTTTATGCACGTATAATTAGTGCTCTTTTGATGCGGTGTTGTGGAATGACGAACTGTTCTTCTGCCTATTATCATGTTGGTGGATATCACTATGAGATGGATATCTCATTTTGTTCTTATGCAGAAGGGTAACTTCCGCCAATATGTAGACGGTAGGGACAGTTAAAATTTGCATCGCTTTAAATATGCTTCTGCAGCTATCTCGCGGTCCTGCATATGTCAAAGCTCGAAGGGCTTCCTTTTGCTGGATTAAGAGCTTGGAAGTTTGAGGCGATGATCCCCAATATCATATTGAAGTTCTAGCAGCTTCATGAGTTGAGATAATCCTTATTCTTCTGATGAGGTAGGTTGCTGTGGTTAACTTTTGTAACGTATTCTGTATGTGAATTCCATTTCAGGTGGGAATCTATGTTAAGACCAAGAAATTTAATCGTATGTCCCGTATCTGGTTCTCTATTGGTAAGTATGAGTGATTGCCTCTTTTTTCCATTTAGTCTTAACTCATTGCTGGCGAACTACTCTTTCGCTTCCAGCTCGACTTCTTCGGACCTTCTGAGGAGTTCCTGTCTGTCTTTAAATCTCTAGAGACCAACAGCGAAGTATCATCAGCGAAAAGGCACGTCAAATCAGCCGTTAAGTTTTGTGGTAAGTCATTGACATAGATCAGGAAAACTGGGCCAAGAACAGATTCATGTGGCATTCCCTGTCCTATCTGTCTTCTTGCCGAGAATCTTCCTTTCCAGTAAACCATTTGTGTTCTACCCTGGAGATATGTCCTGAAGAGTGAAAGTGAAGTTCCCTTTATACCGTAGTACTCTAGCTTAGCGAGCAGAATCTGGTGGTCGACGCAATCAAAGGCCTTTGTTAGATCGCAGCATTGGAGTAGTGTTTCTTCCTTTTTGTTGAAAGCATTTGTTATCAGTTTCAAAAGACCCATAACAGCTTTCAGTAACCGTGTTTTTCGGTGCTAAATATGTTATGACTTTCAAGAAAATCAATCAGTCGCTTCCTTATTACTCGTTCAAAGACCTTGGATTCGCTTTGTCACCACTCTTGAAAAGTGGCACTACTTTTGAAACTTTAAATTCTTCTGGGTAAATTCCATCTAGCATGCATTGATTGATAGCATCTGTTAACGGTTTTGCTATTTCGTCTCGTATACTCTTTAATAAAACTGATGAAATTCCATATAAGTCTAATATATTTTTTGATTTTAGGTTCTATATGACACTTCTGACCTCTATCAAATCTACTGGTGTGACAAAAATAGAACTCGCGACCGACCTGCTTCTCTTCACGAAGATTTCCGGACAGAGCACAGGTCCAGGTTCAGAGTGCATCTGGTTGTCAATCTCACAAAAATAATTATTAAAGTAATCCGGAGTTGGACCATCATAGTCACTACTGGTGTCTAATTTCTTTTGGTAGAATTAGTTTTTAATTACCGTCCAAATAGCCTTGGAACAATTGTCGCTATTTTGTATAAAGTTGGAAAGAGTTATAGCTTTTTGTTGTTGAATTGCTTGCTTGTATTCTAATTTGTATCGCTTGTAAATTTCCATGTGTTCAGGCAAGTTCTAGTCGAAAATTCGCAAAATAAGTAAGACACACGGCTTGTGGTGATTTTTCAATCTCGAAAAGAGGAAAAAGTCGCCAGGACTCAAGTCAGACGAATAAGGAGGCTGAGGAGTCACAGGAAAGCTTTTGCTGGCCAAAACCTTGTTTATTGAATTTCTTGATGTTTGGTCTAACACGAATGACCCTATCTTGAAGTTTTTCAAGAACCTCTCGGTAAAAGTATTGATTGACCGTTTGGCCTTGAGGCACAAACTGTTTGTGAACGATTCCCTTCATATCGAAAAAACAAACCAGCATGCATTTGATCTTCGACTTGCTCATTCTTGCTTTTTTGAGACTCGGAGAGGTTGACGTATGCTCTGGCGCTTGATTTCCGGGTCGTACTCAAACACCCCATGACACGTTCCAGAAAATGGGGATCATTTTTAATCGATTCCAAAAAGTCTAGATATCTTTCCTTCCTGATGTCCTTTTGTGCAGATTTTTCTCACCCCCAATTCATTGGTCAAAATCTGATGAGCTGGTGGTATAGTCAAATTCAACTCTTCCCTGATTACGACTGTCAATCGACGATCTGAACGCACAAGATCCCAGATTCTGTCAACATTTTCTTATATTCTGGAAGATGAAGGCGAAAACCCTAGTTCCTTGACAAAACACTGCCTTCGTAGACCTGCTGAAGTTTTGCAAAAGTTGCAATGTGCCCAAGTCTGAAGCAAAACCTGATGATAGTACACCGTTGCTCGAAATTTTGACAACTCATTTTTAGAACGCACTAGAAAAAACAGTTTTACAAAAAAAAATGCTACGTACAACCAAATAACACCTGCCGCTCCTCCAAGTCTCAAGTGTTGCCAGAACAAACGCTACATTGACAATCTCATTACTTAATTTACACACCTCGTATATTCTATATAATTAACGTTTAAAGTATTAATAAACCTTATAAAAAGGATTCTAGAGAGAATAAGTACTTCAATTATGCACTATTTTATAATAATTAGTTATCATTAGTTTTTTATCAATGATATTATAATAAATTAGATATTGAAGTGAAAGAATCCTAATTGATTTTGTTGAGAGTTTAAAGTGATATTATCTAACTTTATGTAATGACGCTTACTTTGAATTTTGATTAATAATGCATGAATAATTTAATGCAGCGATTAAGAACTAGTTGATCCTTAGTAATGCATTCAAACTGTATACATGTGTGTTTAACCCTTAACAACCCACAATTATTCAGCGGACGCATTGTCAAAATACAAAATCTAAGATGAGGAATATTATCTTACAATTGTCGAGCCATTTTTTTCCATTTTGAGGACGAATGTTATGCATGCAGTACGTACCTAGGAATCCTATTAAATACGTAATGAAGATATGGTGTGAATACCATAGAACGACATAAAAAACTTTGATGTCTCAAATCTAAGGAATGGCATTCATAAGTACGGTCTAAATAAACCTTAGTATCCCTAAACAAAGGAGTAGCATAAATTTTGGGTAACCTAGTTTAAGGAACTAAATAACTTTGGTGTCCCTAATAGAGATACGTTTTGGTAATCCTAACTCAAGCAACAAACTTATGTATAAAAGTGATGAAAATATTTATTATATTATTCCGTTGCTACAATTATTACGACTTAATATGATATAATTATTACATTTAATTTAATTATTTTAAAATAATTAAATATAACTGTTACAAATTTAGCCTTGAGTTATACAACTTCGAAGTGAAAACTACATTTTCCTAGGTGGTTTATTTTGAGAGAAAAATTAATAAAACTTTAATAACGACGCGCAAAAATAATTAATTATGGTTCAGGGGTTTTATTTACCCAGATCCATGCGGAATTGCCGGTTTATCCGGTTGAATTATTTGAATAACTAAAATCACACCACGGACGGCTTAATTGTTAACAATTAATTATTAAAATTACAGTACTTACGGAATTCTATCTTTATTTACAAAATTATATTTATTATTAATGGAATTGACTTTAAATAATTATTTTCGTTTAATTAAAAACATTAATTAATTGTCACTAGTCTTGATGTCACCATTCGAATATCGATCGAAATTGGAGGAGTCGGTTTTTTCTTGTATTTTTGACTGATCATTGGATTATCTTCATTATTTATTAACCGATAGGTATCAAAATCACATATCATTGATTTCAACACTAATCAGTCTTTTAATTTGGCTTTGTTCCTCTTACGACCCTTAACACTGCTTCATAAAAAATGACAGAGAAACTATAGTTTCTCGGCGGCTGAAAAAATCCTTATATGTAGAATGATTTGATGTATCATCAATGATGTATCTATGATAACATAAAGATTTGTGTTTTTGTATGGTAATTGAAATATTGAATTGTTCTGATTTATCATTATTATCCATAGTTACTCCTGACCATATCTTCGGTCTCTATACTTCAAATTGAGTACATTTGCATTTTTTGAAAATTAAAGCATTCCTCAAATTTACAATTACATAATGTATTAAATCAAAATTGTTTTTAGTCAAACTGTTGGGTTAATTACTAATAGACTAACAAAAAAAATTACTAAATATACGGGATAAAACTTTCCTCGGTGCATAAGCTTGTATTCCTCTATATCATATTTTTTGAAGCAGAATTTAGTAATGATGTTAAGATTGTTTCTGCAAACTTTTAATAGGACTAAATTTATTGAACTCTTCCAGAAATAAACTCATTATAAATTTATAAATTATTAAGACTGGGTACCTGGGTTCCGCTAACCCAAGGATGCTCTAACAAATCTGTATCCTAAGTGCAGCATTATATAGTTTGTACAAGATACGAGAACATGTACTTTCTATAGAAAATTTCTACACAGATTTTTTATGTTTTGGGTACTTTGGAAACTTTTAATCATATGAAATGAATAAAGGAAACAAGAAAGGAAAAATAT